GGGGGGGGGGGGGGGGGGGGGGGGCATTCAGTATCAAAAAGCCTATAAAATGGTACTCATCTTAAAAGCTCAAATGACTGTCCTTGAACCGCTTTCGATTCGCCCAAGACATCAGCAGAGTTCAAACTAGAACCTCGTCGGAGTATCCTCTGCTTCCGAAGCTTGTCATGGCATGAGTTGAAGAACTCATGCCTTAGAGCTTCGTCTGCAGTAATCCTTTGCCTCGGATTAACTGTTAGGCACTTGTCCACCAGATCAAAGAGTGACCTCGGGATGAGCTTGAAGAAATCCAGTCGCTTTGTGTGAACCTTAACCCAACTTTGCAAATCCATAGCTGGGAAGGATTTGATGTTAAACAACTCCTGCAACATAAAGTAAACCTTCACTAATGAACCAGGATAAGCTTATCAGCAGTCTGTATATATCAGAACTATCTCGTGAGAAGAATTCTTAAGAAAATGAATGAACAAGTGAATATATGAAGAATCAGACTAATGGACAACTAGGCATGGTAATGTTTCAAGGGATGGTTAGATGCGATGAACTAGCAGATCAAGTCGACAACCCACCAAAAGATCACTGGCTTACTATCCGATCATGATATTGGCCTGTATCATCTATTCGAAAAACAAGCCATACAGAGGTCGGGCATAAATGCTCTTTGGACCATGGCGGGGTGGAAGCTACAGTTTTTAAGAATAAGTTACACAGTTACTAAAGACAAGGAAATGAGATAGCATAATTTGTTCATTAAAGAAATGTGGAAAAGGAGCTAAAGAGGAAAACTTGTTTATAAGAGGAGGAATAGTGAGGATTTGTGTTAAAAGGGAAAAGAATGCAGATCTCAGTGAGATGCATTGAGACAAGGAACGAGAGAGGTCTCCTTGTTTAATACCAACAACAAAGACGACCAAGATTCACGTGGAGTATAGAAAAGCCTTTTAATGATACTTTATCGCAGCAATTATCATAATGTTTCAAGTGCTTCACAATATGATAACGGTTAGGATAGTTTTTAACATTTGAAAATCCAAAATCTAGATATATTTATTGCTAGAAAATTAATAATCAAGGCCTTTTAAAAAACAGTGATTGTAAAATAGAATGAAGGTTGGCAAATATTAGAAGATATACCCCTGGAAATGCGGATTCACGATCATGTAACTTAGCCACCTCCCATAAATCTTCACTGCCCCTCAATTGAGCAATGTCTTTTATGTTCCTAGCATGATTTATACAAGTCAGAAATGCCACTGGACTGCAATAAAATATGAAAAAACTTGTGGTTGATATTTGGAATATTACTGTTCAGGGTCTCCAGTAAAAGGACTTCTTCCAACCATTAGATAGAGAAGAGTAACACCAGCAGACCAGACATCGACCTGAGGACCTTGATGTAGGGATCTGAATAGGACCTACACAATTGCATGCGTTGATGGTGAATGCCCGGACACAATAGTAATTGATTATGGGTTACATATGACCCAAAAAAAACACAAAACTACATAAGAGTAAAATGAAATTTGTTTCAAGGTAACAGTAAGTAGGATACCTCTGGAGCTCGAAACCCCTTCGTCCCAGCACAAGAACCCTCTCTTTTACGTTTTGCATCTCCTGGAAGTAACTTTACTTTAGAGAAAGACCATAACATCCAAATACTTCAAAAGTGGAGCATTCAACTACAAACCTTTACTTTTTAGTACCCTAGAACCAGCAACAGAAATGCCAGTGCAATGGACCAACATTGGGCTTGGATGTATAATTTTATTGTCTTCCTTGCCTGGAGGAGCAGCTATCCTTTTCCTTCGTAGATCGGAACTATTTTGGGTGGCCTGGTCCGCATTTCGTAATGCATTTTGCACCAAACTTAGCAGTTCCTTTCTTCCTTGACATGGAAGAGGCTCCCTCATATTTTCTGTGGCAAACGTCCTAACACTTGTTGCATCCTTTGTAGAGGTTATACCAGATCCATCTGCACCCTGGCTTCTTATTGCACTCCCACCACGCATATCTGGATATTTTTTCAAGGGTACATAAACTCTCTTTTTCAAGTTCTTATTGTGCTCCCAAGTCTGCTTAGATTTTCCTGTTTCTCTCTTGCTGAGAGATGCAAGATCTCTGAAATTATTCTCGTCTTTAACGGCTGAACCAGACACAGGATGAGGAACAGGAACATGATCCGAAGATGCGTGATGACTTGAATTTGATTTACCTAAATGGAATGATTGATCAGATTATAAATCAAACGAATAAATAAATGATAACAACAAAGATTTGTACAGCCAACAAGACAGAAAACATCAAAGTTTTTTTTTCCTTTTTTTTTTTTTTTCCTTAGCAAGTGAAGAACTTTGAACATGATCCAAAAAGGGCACGAAGTGTCACAGAGAAGCTTACTTGCTATGGAGTATTTCTGCCGTACATCCTGAGAAAGAAAATAGTGGACAAAAGAACATCACAGAATATTAGAATTTCAATTAACGTTCAGTCAATGGAGGTGAAAATTTTACTAAATGTAAGATGGCAAATGAAACACAGGGACCAACCATGGCAAGGTTAAAATCAATGAGGTAACCCTTGTTCTGTTTTCTTGAGAACAGGAAGTTTCCAGGCTTAACGTCTCTGTGCATGACTCCCTAAGATTGTCAAAGAAAGTGATTAGACTTGGGCTGAGTACTCTATAAAAATTTCCATTCCCTTGCCATTCATGCACAGCTACTTATAGCAGCACCTCACCTGCTTATGCAGATATGCCAAGGCCTTAAACAAGCAGTAACCGTACCACTGTAGTTGAACTATATCAATATCTTTCTTCAAGACCTACATGTTAACACAAGATAAAGACCTCATTTCGAGTAAAACTAAGTTTTAAGTTTTGAGAGAATTTAGATGGTGTAACTACTTTCCAGGGCACCAATCCTCCAAGAACTAAAATTAATCACACAAAACTACAAAGCATTATTTTGTGTACACTTTCCACATTACTAACCGACTTAGTAACGTCAAAAATAATTCAGAATTATAATATAATCGAATTGCAAATAAATTACCTCAGGTCTGTCATGTTCTACGTGTTCTAGAATTAAGCATTCGTTGTTGCCACTACTAAAGGACCCTTCATACTTAATTATGAAGTTCCTTCCCCTGCATGAAAAAATGGTTTCAATATGATATTCTAATTTGTAAAAGCTATCGTGAATCAAAGAGAATGTTATAATGTTTCTTCCTAATATACATACCCAAACCGCTCAAGCATTTTTAGCTCGTTGTTTACATTGTGCTTGTGAGCATTAACATGGGGACCTGCAAGTGTGAATATGAAACACGTCATATATTTTCATTTTTCAATAAAGAACAGTATTGCATCCGAAGTGTGAGTAACAATCTAACTTGAGTTTAAATATAGAACTAATCTTGGAAATCTTTAAGATGTGATAAAAATGAACCGACAAAATAAAAATTCAGTTTTCTTTACCATGAAATGTTCACATTCCCGTGACTTTTTGGCCCTCATGTTTCCAAGTTCCAATTTCTTATTGAGCCTAACATGCTTTTGCTATTGTTCAATGATTTATCGAAAAAACCATAATACCATGCACATAGCCACCCCCCGCATAAAAGAACAATAAACGAAGGCATAAAAGTAGTCATATTTTGACAATTCTTCATATAAGGACGTGGTCATAGTTTGGAGCTCCAATGGGCTTCTTGACTAGAGAGACAATAGAACATTCAATGCGAAAGAAAAGAACTAGAATTTATTGTTTGAGGTTAACTTGTATACAGCAGCCACCTGGTGCAAGTTAGAAAATTCTTTTCTAACTACTCCCTTGGTGACACTTGTGCAAGTTAGAAACATCTGTTTCGTTTCCAATATATTTACACATGTAAACATTCAGACCATTTGGCAACTGATTAAAAGAGTAGCCTAAAAGTAAATCAGGTTTACATTTGATAGCTTTCCGTATCCCATCACTTTTTCTTTGAGCCCTGTAAACGGTTCCATATCCACCTGAATAAGTTTTAAACATCATTAGAACCAGTGGAAATGAGAAGAAATAGGAATCTGCCACTCAGAGAGACAAGCAAAGGAAGCTGCCTACCAGAACCTTCTTCTTCCTCGATAATGAAAGACTCAAACTGCGGAAACAATGTTTTCTCCAACTGTTTCAACAGATCAATCATTAGGTACTTGTTTTGCTACTTCAATCATATATAGCCAATTGCACATTTAGCTCAAGCATCCATTTTCGCTCAATGACCTCTAAAATCAAAGTAGATAGCTTCAAAAGACGTGCAAAACGAGAGTTAGAGAAACTTACTTCCATAGATGGACTGGTCGAGTCCAAAGGAGGTTTCTTAATGTGCACATTCCCATTTGAAATCTTCTTGAACTTCTGCACCTTAGACGTCAGTTTATGAACATTATCATATCGGTTTTGCTGCTTGAGAGGATGAGAAACCTCCCTATTCACTGCAGACCCCATGAGAACTTTCTCAGGAGATGAAGTACATTTTTGTGATCCATCAACTTCTCCCAAGGTCTTGACAGGTGGCTCCTCAATAAATGGTTGGTCATGTATGGAACAGGAAATCTGAGTTAAGTTTTTCCTGGATATTTTATCTCCATCCATGTTTGACATAGTTACCGGGTTTCTCAAGTCTAGAAAGTTTATTTGTACTTCACCCGTTACCGCATGCCCTTCCAAGTGAACAAGATCGTTTTCTGTTGTTCTAGTGTACTTGGAGAAATTTCGTGTTTCACAAATCTTGTTTTTCTCATTTTCTAGCTCCCATTCCGAAATATTAGAAAGGTGCCTAGTGCAAGTCCTATCGTCAACCTCGTGTGGTTGGACATAAGGGAGCATGTCATCTCCACGGCACAATGCTGATGCGTTTCCCAACTTACAAGAAAATTTGTGGTTTTTGTCATAAGAAAGTGTGTTTGTGGAGCTACACGGTGGACTCAAAGAAAGAACAAGGTTACATGACATTCCTCTGTCTGAGTGCCTTAAATTTGGCATATTCGAGTCTTTTTGGACTTCGTGCATGTGGCGGTCGTGTTCATTATCTCTTAAAGGCCCAGCATCATCTTTAATCAAAGTTTTACTAGCTTGAACAGCGATATCAGATCCCATTTGTCTAGTGTGGCTCATCAAAAGGTTTGGAGAGTCAGCATAACCAAGAGAGAAGGGCACCTCATCAATTTTTACATCAAAATGTCCAGTTTTGAGTTTTTCGAAAGGCAAATCAATTGTAAGCGAATTTGAACTGGTGAGAGTCACATAGCTAGGAGGTACCTTTATGCAGCGAAAAAAAAAAAGTCAGCTGTGTTCTGCATTTAACAAACTGAAAGTTACAAACCGAAATCAAGCATGACAAAGTCGTTAAGTTGTAGAACTTAAAACAAAATAAAAATAAACTAAAGACCAAGCTAATCACAAAACTATGAGATTGATTAAATTATTGCATTACCATGTAACAATAGAAGAATGAAACTAGAAGCGATTCCCTGATAACAAGCTCAATATAAATAAAATTCATACTTGTTTCACTGCATCAAAGTCCCCAAATCAAATGAATATTCATTATTAGAAGAAAAGTAAGAAATAACGATAGAAAAGATGATCATCCACCAGATTGAACCATCTAATTTGTACATAAAACTATGAGAAGTAAAAAATATTCCAAACCTGAAGAAACAAAGAAAGAACATGTAGCTAAGAAGACATTTTAATCACTCATAAGAAATTTATAGTTTCATAGTTTAAAACAAAAGAGAAGTATCTCGGTCCGTAAGCAGAATAAATGCATATAAACAACAGGGGTCAACCAAATTTTCAGAGGTTGCACATTAAAAACCTATCTGAAGAAGGAATTGAAACAGAGAAATTGGAAAAGTACCTCAGCATAATTATGAGAAATCCTTCTTGTTACTGACAGACAGATTTCATTCCCTACAACACCATCAATCATCTTTGGTCGGACTATGAATACAGTAACTAAGATAATGAATCAGGAAAACACTATTGGAATAGCAAATAAAGAAAGCAAAAAACAAACTCTAAACTCGTACCAATTCCAGAAGTTGAAGTTAAGATCCTTTTTCCATGGAAATGTCGTTCAGAATCAAGGACTGATCTTTTCCGTTTCCGAAAGTACGTTTTAACATCTCTACCCCAGAACCTATTTGGCTCTAGAACTCCAAAATCTCGTCTCAAAAAACCCCATCCATTAGTCGCCTTGGAAAAATATCGCCCCACGGCAGAGACCGCAATAATGGAAATGAAAACAAGAGCATCATCCACTATACAAATAGGAGAAGCGGATATTTGGCATAGATACCGAACAAAATCTGGTGTAGCACGGAACAATTCACATCTCACAGCGAGTTCTTCCACAGAAGCAGGGCGACCAATATCCAGCAATATCGTGAAGAGATACCAAGCTTTTTGCAGTTCCACAGTGGTATGGAGACTGTAATGAGCCATTCTTCACAAAGAATAAAATCAATTACACAACAAACCGTAGTTCCCAAATCTCATATCTCAGCGTTGTTGACTGAAGCAAAATCCGAACTCCTCCGATCCGCAACAACTAAAAGAGGTTTCAACTCACGCTGAAGATGTTAACTAGAAGTACACGAAAGAGTAAGCTTCCAAGCGATGAGTAGATAGCAATTAAAGTGTAGATAAATGATTGGACCTTAAAATGATGGGTTGAACCAAGATGAGAGGCAAAGATCTGCAGGAAGATGAAGAAAGATAGTAAGGGATTAGGGCTAGAAAGAGGGTAGAGGGTGAAGCGATAGGGGCGGGAAATGAAGAATCCAAAGAAATTCGGGCGGTTTGGAGTGGGAAGGGAGAATTCCCGCCTTTTCTGTTTGGTTACTTCAATTACTAAAACGCCATTCCGGATAAAACTAACACCTTGTCACCAATTTTTCTCGCTTTTTCCTTTTTTTTTTTTTTTTTTTTTTT